TCCCTATCACCGCGTCCCCAGCCTACTATTTAGATGTGCTATTGTGACCGCTTTTCGTTTGTTTCTATGCGAGAATGACATCTGTTGGATTGTTTTTAAACAAGTGACGATATAAAACTAAACAGTTTGATTTTTAATTAATTAATTTATTTCTATGGCATTTTCATTTTGTTTGTATCAAGAACTAAAGTTTGCCTGTAAAATTCATATTTTCTTTAACGAAAAAGAAAAAAAAACATCTAATAATTATCGATCTTTCAAATTGACTTTGTTACATTGAATGTACTAATTGGTACCGAGTTATGTTTGTGTTTGGTTCTCGTCCATTTTTTTTTTGTTGCATATTTGAGACTAATTGATACAGAAATTTGGTAAGGTTTGGAATTTTAATGTTTTATTGACACCATTGCAGGCACCAAGACAAAGAGGAGACAGTTTCCGTTAGCAGTACATCTACTGTCAATTCTGTTACAACGAGTACTTCTAGCACCCCAACGAACACCTCCCTATCACCCACGACCAGTCCCTTGCCCAATAGTCAACCTGTACGAAGGTCAGTCAATAGTCATTACTTTATTTTATATGTTTTTTTTATTATTAGATTCATTATCTTTACACTTTAATTTTAATAAGAATGTATGCAATTGTTTTTTTACAAAGTTTTAGATATTACAACAATAAGTTTAGTATTTATACACAAAACAAATGAAAATTTTGAAGTCAGTCAATTGCCAGTCGTTTCTTCTTTTTTAGTTCATTTGTTATTAGATGTGCGTATTGTTTTACTTTGTTTTGTTGTTCTTTTGTCGTTATGACCGTATGCTCTTTTAATCGATCGCAGTGGGCTGAAGTTACCTGTCGGCGCAAACGCACCCGCTGCTGTCGCCAGTACTGCCAACACAAACACTTCCGCTATCTCCCCCTCTTCCGGTGGAAACAGGCTTACCGTCATTAAAAATTTCTTTAAGTATGCGTTGTCGTGTTAGCAATAATTAAAAAATTAATATAATAACAATAGAAAAAAGAAGGAGGTTCCAATTAACAATAACGCAGAGTTTGATTTTGTTTTAAGAAACAAAACAACAGTCAGCGTAACAACGTTGCTTGTTTATATTTGTTTGTTTTTGTTCTGTGGTAACCGCGCATGCCCGACGAAATCTTCCTAGCTGATTTGATGGCTTTAAGTAATTTGATTTAATAAGATGTTGTTTATAATTTTCGTGTGATTTTCCGTGAGAGTGTTGTCTAAAAAAAGTAAATTGTGAATTAATTGCTTGTATTTTCGCAGATCGTTTGTTCCTCCCGTTCGGGACGAAGAGAGCGAGACCCAGAGAAAGGCTCACGCGAAGAGGGTCCGAGAGACGAGGAGGTCAACGCAAGGGGTAACGCTGGAAGAGATAAAGTCAGCAGAACAGCTCGTCAAAAAGAAGAACCAATCAACAACAACGAACGCCACCACCAACACAGCCAACAGCGAACAAGTAATTTCCCTAATTTGTTACTTTTTACTTTGCTTCAAATCGATTTATTGTTGGGAAACATTAACTAACCCCGCCCACGGACCGACACGGATTTTTTTTTTAATCTTTTTTAAATACGTACTTTTTAATATTCACGCTCTGGTGAGTCCAAATTGGTTACACGATAATTGTAAATCGTTTATTTATTGCCTTTTTCCTGAATTAATACGCGACAAGGCTCTTAGAATCGTCAGAAAATAAATAACAAACGAAAACAAAATAATGACGATATAATAATAAATGAAGCGCGTTCTGAAAGCCTTGTGGTTCGTTTGGTACCATTTAAAACCGCTTTATTTTGCACTAACAGCCAATAGGAAACGGTAAAGGGGAGCCGACTAACAATGGCATATCGGTGACCGCTACCATAACAACGGCCACGACCACAGTTCCTACGCCACGAGCTAACGACGAATTGGCGCAGCCGGTCCACGAGAGACGGCCGTCGTGGCGGCTACGTGTCGACAACGGCAGCAAGGTCAGTCAGTCACTTTTTTTTTCTTACGAACTTATACGTACATGTATAACGTTTAACGTATGCCACGGTCGTGCTTTTTTGGCTTTTGTTTATCGCATGCGCAGTCTGCTTTTATTCAACTGACACGCTTATTAAACGGAGAAAGGTGCTTAACTGAATTCTGTTACATTTTTAATCGATTAATGTATTTTATTGTCTATAAAGTACTTTATGATGTAATTGAGTATGTTATTATTATCCTTCTGTAGTAAATTTGGTTTGGCACCTTCTTTTTTTTTGTAATGTACGTTCGTTTTTTTTTACAGGTTGTTGTGCTTATTTTGTTCTTCAGCTTGTATTGCGTTAGTCATCCGTTTTTTCATATTTTTATTCTGTTGACATTTCTCCTACTGTGTTACTGTACAAAGATGCGCACATTTTCTATTGCTTGTAAATAATTTTTTTTTGTTGTATTTAAGGGTAATGTTAAGCAGCGTACTATTCATGTAAAATTAATTGTACGATAATTCAGTTTCGGATTGCGTTTTTCGTTTGTTAGGGGCGAAGGTTATTATTTATTTGTGTTTTTTTTCTGATATCTTTTGTTAATAATTCAGAAACAATTGGTGAATGGGAAAGACACTACGCTCGTGTAAATACGCCGCACAATTACACAGATACATACGCACGTTGCTAAAAAAAAGTTGATCTTGAATACATTTGTTTTCCGTTTCGTAGGTAATTTGATTTTTTTGCTTCGAGTTTTGAAATTGCAGTGTAGCTTTCTAAACTTTTTGTTTTGGTAATTACTATACATGTAGATGTTTTTCTGTTGTTTTTATGCATAATAAATGTTTTTTTTTATCGAATTTTTAACTTTTTTTTCACAACAAAACACCTTCACTATCACGTTAACACTAACCNGAATGTATACCACATATAATGGCTTTTAGCATTATTAAGAAAGAAAAACTATTGAATATTTTCTAACAACTTTTTTACACATATGTATAGACATGTATGTATGATAAAAGCACCTTAATCGGTAAATTTGCGATTTGCGTTACGTCCAAACAGTGCTGTACGAATTTGGGGAAGAAGTTGTGCAGAAATAAGTCCAAGACGGGCTTCTAAGGTGTTGCTTATCTTTATCCTTCCACCATGAGCATATAATTCGATTCCTCCAGTGGTGTCAGCTGGAAGATTATTTTCTGGGTCGACTTTTAAAACAACTTCTTTGCCTATGGCATCCTTGTACTTCTTAGAAACGTCTGGTAATAACGATTCCACAAGAGCCTTGTCCTGTGCTCGAACTCTTACAGACACGTTGGTTTCAAATAACTTTTAATGCAAGAACCAATTAATAAGGTGATTTTTTGTTACAATTTGTATAATATTACCTGATAGAGACCCTGAAGAATTAGGGATTTCAAAATTTCACTATATTTTGGAGTATTGCGAGTTACTTCACCTAGCCTTTTGCGAGCATCATCAAGGACTTGATATACATGATCTTCTCTTACCTTTAAAACCTTTAGACGGGCCTGATTCAACATGTTTGAGGATTGACTGTAATAAATAAAATCAGTGAAATAATAGTGAAGAATAACTCTCATAAATACATTTTCTTTTGCAGTTCTACTTGTTTTTCCTTCTTTTCATAATACTCCATTATTTTCAGGCGTTGTTGTTGAACAAGACGTCCTTTCTCAATATTAAATTCCTCTTCAGCTTTAGCATCAATTTCTTCAGCCTTTTCATTGGCCTCTTGCTCAATGAAGGCCATCATGTGCTTGATCTAACAAATCAAAGTTAAATTAATTCGTTTAGAAATATAAGTAACTAACGATAAAATGGATGTAGATGATCAAAACTTTGTTAGAATACATTGGACCTAAATAATCATCATTACTGGTTATTTGGGTCTCAAAAATACTATGCTCACATTTCACTTTAAAAGTTGAAAATAAAATTCACTTACCTGTTTCTGAACATCTGCGTCGCTTAAAGCCATGATTGTGGTTTATTTTAGGGAATTATTTCTAAAATGATTGACTATTTTGAAGAATAATCTTGACAACGCCTTTACAAGAACCACTCGTTGTAATAGAGGCAAATTGACAGTTCATCATATGATTATATTCACATGACATGACAGTCGAATAATCGCCACCTATTAAAAACTGCGTGTACTATATGTAATTTATTTAGTAGCTACCTCACTTGAGATGGCGCTGAGCAAATGTTAGATACAGGATGATTATTTTAATTTGGTAATGTTATATATTTTAAATGGTCACGTTAAAATGTAACAGTTTTAAAACTAAAATGTAGATAATTATTTTAGCAATTGCTGTTACAGAAGTAAAGAAAGAATGACAGAATTGAAGAATGTTTAGAAACAATTAAGTGAGACGCTATTTATTTATTTTCATTTTATCTATCTAATAAATGCAATAATATCGTAAAATATCATTTTTACAGCTGCATAGACTAATTATCATGATTACTCGACTGTTTGCCAAATTTAAATAATCACCCTGTATATTACATAGTGTTGTAGTCTGGCTATTATACGGGCGGTGGCGCTGCAATCAAAATCCTGTAATAACTATAATGACGCCATAGGTAAATACTGTACATATTTTCTGTGATTATTAGTATTCTGTGGTAATAAGATGGTGTTTGGGGAGTGCTAAGTGGTGTTAAATAACATGTCCATGGAGACTCGTTCTAGTTCAGCCCTTTTTAAAAGGGCTGAACAATTAAAAAGATGGGAAGAATCGGACACAAATCGTGAATCAGCATCGCCCAAAGGCAAGCCGAGAAAAGTGAAATTTTCGTCGGGCTGTGTGTTTTTAGCTGCGTGTGCCGCGGGTGACAAGGATGAAGTTTTGCGATTACTGGAAAAGGGAGCGGACATTAATACTACAAATGTGGACGGATTAACGGCCCTTCATCAGGTAATAATTTTTGCCGTTTCTCTAAATGCAAGTCCTTCGTCCACCTGTAGCAGTGTTCTGGATTTAATGACGTAAAATGTCAATATGGCTTCGTTCAGCTGAAACGTTAAAAGTAAATAAATACAACGAGAAATAATGTTTGGATCCTCTAAACCAGGAACTCCAAATGTTTCCATTAATCTAACTTATAAAGCACATGAAGCTCGCTCTCGGAAATGTCTCTAAACTGTGTCAGTAATAACTGTGCTGTACATTTAAATCTAGTTTTACCTATATATACGACTACAAATACCTATCTTCAGTTTCAAATAATGAGGTTTAATTGGGTACCTATCTTCCATACGTTTTGTTTATTTAAATGCCTATAAGTTTAATTCATTAAGAGAAAGAACAATGTAAACACCTATACACCTATGTATAGAAAGACTATTTTACTAAACGAGATAACAAGAAATAATTTTTACTTCCTATCAACGTTAATTAACCATTATTAAAATACTGAAGTTTTTTCGTTATTGTTGTATTAAATCAGTATTTTTTTGCTCTCAAAATTGATAGGCAAACAACAACTTAATCCTAATTTTTCGTTGTGTGTATACAAACAACCCTAATAATCTTCAATAACTTTTTTTTTCTATAACATTACTAGGAAAAAAATATATTTTTTTATATGATAACTGATTCACAGGAACTTAAGATTAATGGTCTAATTAATGGAGACTGTGGTTAATTGTAATAATAAGTGTATGAGTATTTACATCAAACAGGTCACAGAAGATTGTGGTAATAATTAATGTATTTAAGTGGTGAGACATACAATTATAACCATCGACTTAATTGAGTTTCTTGACCTTTTACATATGTAAATATATGTCATGTGTTATATACAATTAGTTCTTGATCTTTAAGCCAGCAGCTAAGGCATTGTTGAATTACTTTTTTAAACTCATTTACTTACTTAAACTCGAGCAAAGCCCAAACAGGTACCTGTTAAAATTTTGTAGTTTACCTTTCAAACAATTTTACAAGTCATTTAATGAATTTTAGACCTAATTAATAAAAGGCTGTTAATTTTTTTCGAATGCGTAATTAAAAGTGTGAAAGTATTTTTAGATGTTGCTTTTAATAGATGTACATGTTATTACAGAACGTTTTACATTTGTAAAACAAATTAACAATAAATTTGTTGTTCGATTTGAATATGACTCATGTTATTCTTAATTGACGATACATGGGTTGTTCAACTCTGATAAAGTTTGATAACTGTTCGAATTTATAAATATAACACATTATTTGCATGTTTGTATAACTTTCTAATCGATAATTACAATGCCTCAGTTTAATAATTGGTATTACATTTTTACTAACGATAAATAATGGACAGGTTTCTATTACGAATTTTTATCTTTTTTTTTGTGCAGTAATAGTTATATAATTGTTATTCCAGGATAATATTATTTTCGAAGTACATGTGCCATTGGCACATTAAACTTTAAACAAAAAAAGTGCTGTGCAGTTTCTTTCGTAAATTGTACAGATTTATAACGTACATAGTCTACATACATGTTATTACACCTCGTTTCAAAAATATACATTCATGTATGTAAAATAAACTCGTTGATGTACAGTACTTAGCAGAAATGTACACCCTGTTTGAGGGTCCTCAAATAATTATTTTTTCAGCACTAATGTGTTAAATTGTACCGAATTGCTTTAGCAATTGATCATTTTCAAAAGGTATATCTCAAAAGATAATTGGAATTAATTATTGTATCATTTTATTCCGTTATATTTTATTTTTTTATTAAGGAACCTTGTGTCCTTTAGGATAATTCAAATTGAGAATAAATATGAATTATCTGGTATTAAAGTAAAACTGAAATTGCTGTGATGCCTTTTTTGCATTGTAATGTATATTCAATATTGCCATGTATATAAAATGTGCAAAATCGAATGATAAATGGTGGCATGCTGGTCTGACGTCTGTTTTGGCCTCTTGCCATTAACTCATCGTCAGAAATAATTCAAGTATTGTATTTACAGGGTGACCCAAATTCAATATTTTTACGTAGAAAACAAACGAATAATCTTGTTAATTAATGCTAGACTAAATCACGTAATTTTTAAAACAATTATCGAACTCATTATTTACATTTTTTTTTCAATCTAGGCATGTATCGACGACAATTTGGACATGGTCGAGTTCCTGGTGGAAAATGGGGCGGACGTAAATCGGGGCGACAACGAGGGTTGGACACCACTGCACGCCACCGCCAGTTGCGGTTTCCTCTCGATCGCCAAATATCTCCTAGAAAATGGGGCCAACGTAGCAGCCGTTAATAATGACGGGGAATTACCCATCGACATTGCCGAATGCGAAGATATGGAGGACCTACTGCAAGCCGAAATTGAGGAACAGGGTATGGTATACTGACACCTATTTTGTTTAACATTCAGTTTTTACAATAATGGTCTTTTGTTTTAAACACAGTGCTGGATTTTCGTTCAATTGTTTAATGTTCGGTTGTTATAATTGTCTTCGTTATTCTACAATTTTAAACAATGACTTAACGCCTGTCAACTTTTTTTTTTGTTAAGGTATTGACTGTAATTCAGCCAGACTGGAAGAGGAAAGGTTAATGTTGAAAGATGCCAGGGATTGGATGGCAGCGAAGAGTCCCCAAATCGACATGGCCCATTCCAAGACTGGAGCCACCCCTCTTCACGTTGCCTCTGCCAAAGGATACATCAAAGTCATGAAGTAAGTAAGCAAGTAAAACATTTGAAACAGATTTTTTTTGTTTTCCATTGCATTTGTTTTTTTTTAAGTTGTATCGATTTATTCGATTGCAGGATGTAGCTTGTTGGATTGATTGTTTTAGATTGTTGCTACAGTGTGGGGCCGATGTTGATAAGCAGGACGTGGACGGATGGACGCCACTCCACGCGGCCGCCCACTGGGGCCAAAAAGAAGCCGCTCAACTCCTGGCAGAAAATTTGGCCGACATGGACTGCAAAAACTATGTGGTAGGTCATCACCCTGTTTCTTCTTTTCATTTTTATAATCATGATGTTGTTTTCTTCTATTGTTCATATTTTTCTTTTTGAAGGGCCAGACACCGTTTGATGTTGCCGACACCGATATGTTCAGATTTTTGGACGACTTGAAGAAACGCCAGAACAAAGAAGAGGTGCTGCAAAGGCGGCAAGCGAAAAAGAGGGCGGAGATGCAGGACAAGGTAGAAACGGAAACGCCCTCTAAAGTTAAGAAGGTCGAGGTTGCTATCGAAGAAGGTGTCAAGAACAATAACAATAATAATAACAACAACAACGGGGGTGTAGGAGATGATGTTGGTGAGAATTGTTTTGTTTTTTATTTTTATTTGTTTTTCCTCTTCAAATTTTCATTATACGAGTCTTCTACAATTCAACGAACACTTTTGGTTTCTTAAATGTACTTTATAATATTGTCTTCTCGTTTCTATTGTTTTCTTTTCAATTGTTTGATTATTGGAAATAGTTTTCGTTGTATTGTTTTCGATTCGTTGTTGTTTTGATTATTATTTATTTTGTTTCTCTCTCTATTGTTTTTTTTTTGTTGTTTGCCCTGTTATTTGATCTATCTGTCTCCCTCCTCTTCCGCTGTACAAAGGAGGAATGGAAGTTTCTAGTGAAAGTGATTCGGATACGGAAAGCGGGAGCAGTAGTAGTGAAACAGGGTCGAACTCTGATACTAGTAGTGCCGATGAGGGTAACTATTTAATTTTGCGGAATGGGTCGAAACGTTGCTACTTTTTTCTTTTTTTTTTTCAATAATTGACCACTACTTTTTGTCTTTACCTTTTTGTATTTTCGTTCGAACACCTTTGCTCGTCTCTAAAAGGAATGCGTTACCTCGTCACTGTGAAGCATGCGCAGAACGTTGTAATTTTATTTCAGGGCACAAAATGCGTTAAGTATTTGTCTATTATGTATCTCGAGCCTGCGTATGTACATATACATAGGGTAAATAATTTCTGAATGGAAAATTGCATCATCTGCATCTGTTACTAATTTTATTTACTTCGACTAACCACTTTTCTGCATGGGTACATTACTTGAAGGTTTTTTTGCTGGCAATGTGCGATACGTCTTGTCATTTGTTCTTTTATTTTTTTTGTTTTTCGTAAATATAAACACGAGAAAATCGTTACGTTGCTGTTTGTCGCATGTTTACACGCAAAAAAAAGGAAAAACTGCTAATAAATAAAACAATTGCTTAAGGTTCATTGTCATTGCCTTCGTAACATTGGTGTCGATTTATTGCAGAGAAAAAGAATATGGTTAACTCACTAAACAAACAAAAAGATAATAATATAATCGCTAGCAATAACACGGAGGTGCCGAAAAGACCGTCCTCGGCAACGCCTTCTCCGCCTGCCGTCCCACCCAAGCCGCTCCAAGGCGGTGATGCCACCGCACCTCCTTCGACAGACGACAATAATGTTCCTAAGTGGCGCAAGCCACCACCCAGCAAGCCCCCCGTCGTTACCAAAGTCGATTCGCACGCCACTACTAAAACCGCTAGCTTTAGTAAGTATTCCTATTGGCTCGTTGAGAAAAAACGAAATGAGGAACCTCACCGCCTCTTGTTTTGTTTTTTTTTTTAATTTTTTGTTTTTGAGATGGGCGGGGAAGAACAGAATTACTGTAGATGTTCTGCCCTTTATTTATTATCAATAATTCGAGTTATACTTCTTTGCGAAACATTACATTTGCATTATTTATAGCCGTGTTTGTGTGTAGGGATAATAAATTGATTAGCAAGACTGGGTAAATTCCAATAGTAATTTTGTTTAATTTAGGTCATATTTTACCTGAATAAAAATTTATTACCGTTCGGTGAAAAACAACGTACGTAATAATCAAGCTAAAAGGGAGGAATAATATATTCCATCACGCCAACCTTTAATCCAAATAAGCAACAGGAAACATACAATTTCACTATTACTTCAAACATGCAATATAAAAAATATCGTTGAAAACGAAAGCGACAATTTTTTCGTGACCGATACCTAAAGAACCCCAGGAGATATTGATATCTGCCTTTAATTACGATTATTGCAAGCGTATCAATTGTTATTCCACCTGTTGTTTAAATATAAAACAGTTGCAAAAAGACTTACCAGTGATGACCAAACGACCTTTGGTGGCACTAAGTCTTGTTTCACCAGTAAGCCTATGTTTCGTACGACACTGGTATGATTTGTATCCATCTTCGGGTCCAACATCTCTGATATGAAGTTCACCAGACGGTAAAACCAAGTATTTGCTGTCTGTTACAAGATAAATTTGTTTTAGAATCGGCAAATGTTTAAAAAAATTTCCTAGTGCTAGTGAGCATGCAATTTTTACCATGCAACAATTTATTGTAATTTACTTGATTTTTAATTATTGTTAAAGCATGCACTTAAAGATTTTTTTTTGAAGGATTTACTTATGAATGACCAACAGTAAGTCAAATTAAAATCAGGCAGAGAATAACGGTCATAAAAAAAGAGAAATAGGTACCAGTGTAATATTATAAAAAAATATCGTTTTTGTATTAATTGTTCTCTGTTTGATTTTATTTAACTTGATGTGCATAATAATACAGTGTACGGTAAAATAGGGACAAAAATAGGCGTAAGAAGGATTAAGGATGAGGAAATTGGACACCCCAGATGCAATCAGTCAAATTTTCGAAAATTAAACGAACTTCACGGAAAACTATGCACTGCCCTGGTAGTTACTTTCGAAAATCTTAATATTAGACGACTCCTTTTCACTAGTGATGTGGAAAAACCAAGACTGTCTTTATACTGGCTAGACCAAGTCCAGAACGAACAAAACCAAGACCGAATATGCAAGACCAAAACCAAAGACGCAAGACTAAACGAAAAATTATTACTTCCTTGGACTTATGAGTTAAACTATTTGAAGCAACTTCAATGTATTCTTCTCTTGGAACAAAACATTTTGGGTAAATGAAATTTTCGGTTTTCATAATTATAATTTAACACTTAATATAAAAAGAAGAAACTTTATCATGGTTGAAATATTGAAACAAACTGATTTTTTTCAGCTTTGTTTACATGGACGGTGGACGCGGCGGAAAAGAAAAGTGTTCGAAATGTAGCGTTACAGACGAATGATGAGGATACAGTGGATAGAGACGGTTAGAAATGAAGAGGTATTAGAAAGAATAGGAGAACAGAGTACTTTACGGAAATCAATAAGAAATGGGCGAGATAGGTTGGTAGGACACCTTGTCAGGCATGAAGGTCTAGTCAGAGATATATTAGATGCAGAAACAGGAGTTAAGTGGAGTAGATTAGATTACTGTTGGCAAATAGTTAATGATGTAGAATGTTCTAGTTTTAGGGAAATACGAAGTTTAGCTAAGGATAGGAAGGAGTGGAGGTGCGTGTCCAACCAGTCTTAGGGCTGACGACTATAAGTCCTTCAAGTCCTTTGTACTATTTTTTTCGCTAAAAGGTCAATTTATAATAATAAGACCGAAAATTTTAGCATTTAAGACAATTATTGCACCAGTAAATAGCAAAATGTATGCTTAGAAGAATTATTTTAAAAAAACGCAAATATCAGATTAAATGAGCAAGACCAAGACTTAACACGCAAGACGAAGAGCAACACCAAGATTATACCAGCAAAACCAAGAACTCGAGAAACAGTCAAATACAAAACACTAACGAAAAGCTCGTAATCTACAATGAATATTAAGCCCTCTTTGTATCGCTATCTGTAATCATTACGACACAAAGGCATTACGAACGTGGAAGGTGGATCAAAACAAAAAAAAAAAGAAAAACGCACCGTAGTCAGTGTCCTGATGAGAAACAATTTCGCGCTTGTCATCCTGAATCCAAGAGGTGACGTAAACGTAATCGCTGACGAAACTGGGGATGTGACATTTAAAAATTGCCGTATTGCCCTTTAGAACACTTTCGTCCATTACATTTGCATTGTAGACTTGTGTAACGACTGCAAAGAAAAACGGAATCAAACCACAAACATCATTTGTTCACCCCAATCTGAAGGTATAGTAAAATAACATCAGAAAATCAGATCCAATTGTTTTTTGTTAAGAAAATTTTGTATATACAGGGTGATTACTAATTTCAGATTTCTCGTTCGTAAGATAACTCAATAAACTATTTTTTTTGTAAATATACGAAGTGTTTTTATTATTTTCATTTTAATTGAAACACTTCGTGTTAATAAATAGAGATATCGACAAAAATGCAATGTTCTTTTAACATCTATTATAATATATAGGGTTCATTTGTTTATGAACCACCCTGTATATACATGAATCTTAAGTGGAACAAAATAAGTGAACAATTGCTCTAAAGAAACAGGCATTTGAATAAATCTCTATTAATAGAGCAATCTGGAGTATCAGAAAGGTCAGACCCTGGGGCAGATTCATCGTATAACTAACTAGGTGCTTACTGCTGTTGTAGTACATTTAACTTGAATCAACATTAACAATATCAATTCTAAAATTGCTTCCTCTTAGGAAATGTAAACAACATTTACGAGTTGAACCAAAAATACACATCCAGCATACTAATAAGCAAGCTGAAAATGTGATTATTTCTGATGTATTATTTTCGATGTACCATCTACATCATGAGGAAAGCGAATTGAAGAACACATTCCCCAAGAAAAATCTGATTATATTTGAAGGTCTTAGTCCTTGTGAATAGTAAAATCAACAACCAAATAAAAAATTATAAAATAAACTCATTTAAAAGTCCCTAGAACAGTAGAAAGAAGATTTTGAAAACCTCGAAGTGTGCATTAGTTTTTTGAAAGGCAGAATTTACTTTACATCTGGAAGACAATCTTTATTTTTAGACATTTTCTAATTTTAAATGTCAAGGTCTTCTTCAAACAAATTCTACAATTTCTAGTCAAGTATCTGTGCAGATATTACAATTCGCAAAGACTATAAACTTTGTATAAATTAGCATTTTTACGACCATAATAAAATAAAGCAAACGAAACGAAATTTTATATAAATATATAAGTCAATGTTATCAAAAGAGAGATTGCCACTTGGGGATGAAATTCGGGAACACGAAAAGAAAGGATTAATTAAAAAGGGGCGTGTTAATGAAGTGTTTTGCGACTGATAATACCGTAGTCGTCAGTGGGAGGATTGTAATAATTATTGGCCGTATCCTGCCAGGAAATCACATCGACATGATCGGAGACGAATGATGGAATTTGACACTTAAAGACAGCTGTGTTTCCTTTAATAACAAAAACGTCGTAGACCTGCGCTTCGAAATACTGATTAACCACTGTAAGAAAACAAAAAAGGACAACA